CTCAGTGATGACCAGTGATAGGACAAGGGGTAATGGGTGCAAATTGGAGCATAGGAGGTTCAAGGTGAATATCCGAAAAAAATTTTTTACTGTAAGAGTGACAGAGCACTGGAACAGACTGCCCAGGGAGGCTGTGGAGTCTCCTTCACTGGAGACATTCAAACCCACCTGGATGCGTTCCTGTGTGATGTACTCTAGGTGACCCTGCTCTGGCAGGGGGGTTGGACTAGATGATCTTTCGAGGTCCCTTCCAACCCCTAAGATTCTATGATTCTATGATTTATCACCATGAGCTAATTCATTTGAAAAGGAGCTGTGAGAGTTTCCAACTGATGTGGTGAATGTTTGGGTGCTGTGAGCCTTCAGTGGGCTTATGTTTCTTCCTTTTAAATTTGAATGGGATATACCCACTGGGAGCCATTTCCTTAGGGATGATATTGAGGATGGAACTGGAAGTGAAATTCTGTTGGAAGGTGCTGTGATGATAGAGGAGGTGCATGTAGTCTGGTGATTGAGAAGTTGTACTGATGTGTTCAGACTTGGCTTTGCAAAAGGCTCAGTCTGAAGCCTGTATTTTTACTTTCTGACATGTTGGTTTCTTTTCAGGTAGAGTTCCCCTTTAGAAGGGGATGATAAATGTACTGACATGTAAGTGCTGGTAGTGAACTTGAAGCCTAGACATTGAGGTTACCTCATCTAATTTACCTTTGCAATAAAAGATATAATATATGTCTTTACTGTCTGCACACAGTGGGATTACTAATATGTGCTAGTTATCTGGGATGTAACTGTACTTTATGTCAATGAATGGAAATAGTAAGAAAGATAAAACCAGAGGTTTTCTTTAAAAACAAAAATATTTTTCTATGGATAAAAAGCATAATCCTACTTACCTAGGTTTTTACTTTCTCAACAATGTACATTAATTTTGGTTCTTGGTATGACTTCCAAAATCTACAGTGCATTAGACCCAATTCCCACAGTAATAGCTTGGAGGAACCTCTGAGGCTGTGCAGCAAAAGATGTAGACATGGTTCATAACTATCACTGAGAGCTTTTATTCTGAGATTTCCTAAATTTTGAATGCTTGACTACACACTTCTAGCATCTTTTACAATGCTAATATCATACCTATTTCTCTAGTATGAACTGAAGAAGGCAGGAGCACCCTCATGGTCTCAGCAGGAGATCCAGCCCATGTGATGGTGCTACCGGACACAGTGGCATAGTTGGCTGTGTCAGCTGCCAGCTCTGGTCCTAAGACCATCTTAGGAGTTTTAGCAGAGTTATATGACATGATGTTGCAGGGAAAAACAAACTTAATTTTCCCAAGTAACAAGCAATAGAACAGGAGGAAATGGCCTCAAGTTGTGCCAGGAGACATTTATACTGGAAAAATTTCTTTACTGAAAGGGTTGTCAGGCACTGCAACAGGCTGTCCAGGGAAGTGACTGAGCTATTGAAAATATTTCTACTTGGTGGTTAGGGACATAGTTTAGTGATGGACTTTGCAGCATGCTAGATTAATGGTTGACTTGATGTTTTACCAACCAAAACAATTCTATGATTCTGTTCTTTGATTCTATGAAAATACTCTCAAGTAATAAAATTTCACTTAATTTCTTGCCAGTTAAGATAAACTTTTAATTACTGATTCTGGTATTAAGAAATAATGACAGTTACATACTTGAGAAAACACTTCAGCTTTCTGCCAGACAACTTTCCTCCCCCTTACCAGTCTCTAGTCCACTCTCCACACATTATACTCAGCCATGAGTGTCAGTATGGAGTACTTTCCTTTTTCTGCCACTCTCTGCTTCTTCCTCTTTCCATTCCACAGCCCCAGTGCGTGGTCCTGCCCAGGCCACCATCCTTTCCAAGGTGCAGCTTCTCTTGGGTACCCATGTGTGCAGGCATCCCTTGCTGCTGCACAGCCTTTGCCTTTTTCTGTGCCATCACCTGCCCTGGTGGGCTGCTGTCAGGAGGTCCAGTTTCTGTGAAACTGGTGGCCAGATCTGGGACAGGCTGTCCAGAGAGGTTGTGTAGTCTCCTTCCCTGAAGACTTTCAAGACCTGTCTGGATGTGTTTCTGTGTGGCCTGCCCTAGGTGATCCTGCTTGGGCAGGGGAGTTGTACTCAATGATCTCCAGAGGTCCCTTCCAATGCTTACCATTTTATGATCCTCATTCAAACCTTTCCCCATCTTCTCTTAAGAAATGTTCTTCCTCAGGCTCCCATGTCTGCTGCAAAGTCATTCTGTGGTGTTATCTCTACTTTCTCTGTGATGATGAGTGCAGAGAAGGAAGGAGAGCTTTCTTGAGAGCACAGGAAAAACTGGTCCCTGAATTTTGCTCTGGTTCCTGGACACACCTATAGTTCCAGGTTATGTCTTGTGAAGGTGGATTGGAGGCCATTGGCTTTGAGGGGACAGCAGAAGGGCATTGCGTGCATGTACAGGTTCCACAGGAGCCGGGCAGATGGTTTGTGGGGTTGTTTGTGAGTTGACTGGTCACACATGAGCTGTGGAAAGGGTGTGAGTAGGCATTTTGTAGTTGTAAACTTGGAAGGTTTTAGCTGATGAGCCCTCTCATCTCTACTGGATGTATGAAATGCAATTTTTTGAAGGCTAGTAGCTTTCCCACAAAAATCCACTCAGTTGGGTAAGACAGAATCACTGAATCACAGAAGAGACAAAAAGCATGTGCCTGAAATGGCACTGCAGTTTGTTTCAGGTCCCTGCTCTAAACATCTGAGTTTGAGAGCCATCTGAAGCCACCAGAAGTTTAACCTGGGCAGAATAACATACTTTGCCATGCTTCATTCTTAGAAGTAATTGAAGTGCTATTTTTGAAGTTATTCCAAAAACTTCAGACAGAAATTAACTCAAAATATATCAGCATAGGCAAATGACATTTGGCAAAATTATAAGCTGACAAAATTGGGGTCCTGTGGTAGGAAATGCTGATCACTGCTTGTAATGCATATGAATCCTTCCTTTGTTCTAGAAATTGCCTAATGTAATCCAGGCTTATGCCACTGAATTCACAGGTTGACAGTGGCATTCGCATGCACATTTTGGAAAAGCCATGCTTTATGGAATAGCAAAAAAGTACCTCACAACCAAAGAAAATGTATCAAAGGGTCTGTACATCTTTGCTTTGTCCTATCTCAATTAGTGCTATGCAGCAGACTAAAATCAGAAATGTAAAAAGTCAGCAAGCTGCACCAAGGCTAGTTTGCCAAGCCATACAGAAGATTGATGTTGGACAGTAATGATACAGAAGTCAGCTTGGATCATGAGTGTGAATGAGTTCTGTGTTTCAAAACTGGGCAGTAATAGATACAGTACTAGGGTCAGGCAGCTGTGGAGATACTAGTGATGCAGATTTAAAAGTAATTTTGAAGACTTATGGGGCAAGATGCTATGAGTTCTGGAGACAATGTAATTGTACTAGTGGAGGTATTTTCCCCTACTTGACCTTTTGCCTTCCATTCAATCACAGGAGCCCCTAGGTTCAAAGGTTTGGTTTTGACTTAGCAGGCAGTGAAGAAGCTTAGAAGCTTTCTTAAGGCTTCAAGCTATTAAACTTTCATAGGTTTGCAGCCTTGTGGTTGAAACTAAAGAGAAAGTAACTTGTTTTTTTTCTCTAGAGGATAGGATTTCAGTTAAGTCAGTGTTGCTCAGTATTAGAATTTCAGCCTTGCTGGCTGCTAAGTGTATAGAGTTTATGTTATAAGGACCAGGAGCTTTGCCTGAGCTGAAAAAGTTTCCAAAATTGCTCTGTCTCATTTACCCATCTTTGCAAAACTCAGTTTCATTTAATGCTCTGATAGGACTTGGTCTAAGGTCCACACAACCAGTGTCACTATGTCACCTTTTAATGCTGGGCTAGCAATTAAACAAATGACAGATTGCTCTCTGTTAATCCTCCTCCCTCCCCCTATAGGGGTGGGAGAAAGAATGAGGGAGAGAGGTTTTTCAGAACCAAGCAGTGGCCTTGGCTCTGCCTGGCATTCTCTCCATGCACCAATAAACATCGAGGATCAGTCATAGACTGAAAAACATGCTGTTAATTTCAGCAACTGCAGCTACTTAGAAGGGACTTAACTGAAAGGTAACTTCACAAAAAGAAAATTAGTTCTATCTTGGCTCAAACCAAGACACACTCCTGCACCAGACCTGTGCTGCAGACCCATCCAGCATCTTCATCAAAAGCATAGATTATGTTTTTTGAGAAGTGTTTGGCATTGCTAGCATTTTGTCTTTCTGAAGTTGATCAGAGCTGAGAGCTTTAGAGAATCTACCTGAAGTTACCTGTGTTAAAAGTTTTTTTATCCACTCCTTTGAGCTTTTGACTGTTGGGTTTCAGACAATTCCATGGTTATGGGGAGAAAAAGAAACATACCTATTTTGCTTTCATGTCTTCAGTACAAATTAGCCCCTTTCATTTGAAACCTGTGGCTGATTTGTGGAGCTACCTGAAGCTTCTTGTAAAGCTAATTTGGTATACAAGCTTTTTGGTGTGCCTTTCACTTCTTCCACAATTCCCTTTGAAAGGAGTTGTGATATTATGGTTTGTAGATCAGGCTACCTTCTCTTGCAATGGGATTTCTAAGCTGTACATTTCACTGGTATCTTAGCATGGGAAGAGTCCTCAAGGGTTACTTTTAAACAGAGTAGTGGCCTGCTGGAGGCAGCAGATCTTTGTGGGGATTTATGCTATTTTACTGAAATTAGTGATATAAATGAGCCATAAATATGCTTGGGTACTGTTCTGTTTCCTGACTCGTCTTTTATCTGCTTTTTCAGTTGCTGCATGTCGCATGCTTTCTATTCTGCTGTAACACAGCAGCTTTGCATCTTGCTGCCTGTGTGACTCCCACTCCCCATTCTGCATTATCTTCTTGGATGTACTTACTGTGCATCCACAAAAAAGCTGAAATAGATGTTGATGGGTTTTGCTTTGTGTTTTTCCCCCCCATCCCTTCTTCTCTTGACAGTTTTTTATCATGCTGTTAATTATATTTCTGTTGGAGCTCACGGTTGTGATCCTGTTCTTCGTTTACACTGACAAGGTAAGTCAGATTTTCATTTTTCTTCTCCCTTCAGCAATTTTAATGCCCCTTTTTCTCATAAATAAATCATTAAGCACTTGGCTTAGTATGCACGCAATGCTTCTGTCTTCCTTGAGACACCCCTGTCAGAAGGAGCTCTCTTAGAATGCATAAACAGCCTTGAAGGACTGGACTCTCTTGCTTGCTCATGTGTATAATTGAAGGTCACAAATATTGCCAAAAGTGCATCTGCCATAAAAAAAAAAAAAAGAAAGAAAACAAAACAGAACAAAAAACCCCCCCCACAAAAAGCCAATGAGCCTTATTAGGAACATGTAGGAAGAGACACCCATCAAAATTAATAGGACTTTTAAGAAATATGTTTACCATTGAAAAGCCACATTAATTTTGTTAAAAAGGATATGTCCTTAGCACAGGCAAAGGCACACAATTATCTTTCCGAGTTGTCTCTTGCAGCAAATGTGTACTCAGATTCTAGTGGAAAGCCAAGATTAATGTATACAAGTTTGGGGCTTCTGTTTGTGGTTTCAAATTTCACTTGTGTTTGATCTTTTTTCCTGTGCTTACTTGGTGTTTCTGTTGTAAGGGCGAAATTGCCTATTTGAATTATCTTTATCCTTAATTAAAAAAAAAATAATAATCATGACTGAGACCAAAACAAGGGCCTAAGTGTGCATAACATGCTTATTCAAGCAAATTTGTCAAGCAAAGTGTCTTACATCTGAAGGAGCTTGAAAATTGCAGGGTAGGTGGCAAAATTTTGCCATGGATTAAGAGTCATCTGATACCTGAGAAATAAACAGCTTATTCTGGAATGGAAAGACAAATTAGCAGAAAAGAAATTTTAAAGAATTAAAACCTACATAAAATAAAATGAAGATTAATAATAGACCCAGATATATTCAGTATGTTTAGCGATACCCTAGACAAGTACTGGATACGATGTCAACATTACTTTCTAGAATGGCTCTAAATTAATCAGCACTGTGAGTGATTGTCAGGTACACTTCTGAAGGACTGAAAAGAGTGAGGATAGCAGACAGCATGCTGTAGCTGGAACATGGAATTAACTTGCAAGGTAAGTCAAGTAGAAGGGGCAATACAAAATTACTTGTATGCATTATTGTATTCTAAATTACTTGTAACCTCTTGGGATAACGGTCTACATGTGACAACTTGACAAAGGCATCCAGTTAATAGCAGTGGGCCTCCATAACCCAAATACAACACTTGGCATATATCTAGAAAGGAAATAATAGGATCATCAAGGCTGGAAAAGACCTTCAAGATCCAACCATCAGCCCTACAACCCCTAACCACTAAACCATCTTCCAAAGTACCATGTCCACCCATCTTTTGAACACCTTCAGGGATGGTGCCTCCACAACCTCCCTTGGCAGCCTGAATTAGTTAGAAAATATTATCTTGTTGTTGTATAAATTGATGGACTTTCATCACTGTGACTTTAAGAATTAATTTTGGTTTCTTCATTTCACTGAAGAGTAACAGAAACAATTAGCAGTGCTAGAAAGGTGATAGATAGCAGTCATGAAGAGGGGTTGTGGAGACTACCCTGATTCAGTTTGGGAAAAGAAAGAGATTGTAAGAGAAACTGTAAGAGTTGCTAAATAACAACATACTAAAGAACTGTCCTGAACACAGAAGAAATAGTTGATGATATTACAGAGCAGTTTTAAAAGATAAATGTTTCTTTTGCTCCACATCATCGTCTTGTATAATTTCCTGTTGTTGCCTGTTGTTGAGGCTGATAGTTGGAGGAATGTGTGGGTATGGAGGAACAAGAAAAAAATATGACAATGAAACATTTTTATTAATAAATCAGTCAGCACTGTTATGTTAGCACATGTGTCACAGAGAATTCTGGTCTTCCTTCTTCATAGTTAAAATAGTGAAAAAGTGTCAGGGAGGATTCCCTCCTTCCTTCAGCCTGTTGGTTTGCAGTGGTTTTTATTTGTTCTTAATAAAGAGAGAAGAAAATCCTCCAAGTCATGTACTGCAAGTTGATGCAGAAGGTACACTACAATTGTTTATAAGATCAAAACAGTGTCAGCAGGATGGGCTCCAGTTCAAGTGCAGTTTTACTGAATTAAGATATTGCTGTAGACTGTGTATTGTGGATGATCAAATTTTAGGCTTTAATATTCCTACATGACTTTAAATCCATGGTCTTACACCGAGGAAATCATATTTGTCTCTGTGTTACACTTACAGTCCTGTCTACAGAATGAATAAAAGAGCAGCAGCATAAAACTAGTATTTTCATACATCATGCTTAGGATTTATGTGCTTGCTTTCTTAATGCAAAGAACAGTATTGCTACACATACTGCTAAGGGAAAGTAGGTAACCCAGAAAAGTCCATCACAGTAAATCAGTTAATGCAGTACTTTGGAAAATCAGAGAAGGAACATCCTAAATGAACACTCACACATCAGAAGAAAGTAACATTAATTTTGTGTGCAAAATCAGAAAGGACTCTGCAGATTAAGACTTTGAGGTTCCTGTATCATTCTTTCATATATATATATAAATATATATAAAATAAGCCTTTGTTTTTAAGTACCTGATAGCCTTCTGTTAATTAGGAGTGTATATACATATACAATTATTTCCAGCATAAAATGGGGACACATTGCTATTTTTTATTTCTGGCTTGAGAAGAGGTTGAATAATGGATTCCCTGGCAGTTTTCACTTACTCCTGCTTTGTCAAATAGAAGGGCTTTGGAGTGCATACTTCATCCCTTGCTACCGAGTTTAATCAATACTCTCTCTGTGAAACAGGGTGGTGTTATTACCCTATTTAGTTGGAGAGGCAGGAGCTGAGAGAGTTTCTCAAGACTCTTGTCACCGTTTGACTCAGGTCCGACAATGATGCTCTCGATTCCCTCCACCTCTCACCCAGGTAGGGAAGGACAGAGAGAAAAATAGAGACTTGGATTGAAAAATAAACTACACAGCTTTAGTTAAACACTAATGATATAAGAAAATATATACAATTATATACAAATATGTTCAGATATATGCAAAAGCCTCTTGCCTTCCCCCACCCCCAGCAACGCCCACAGCATCTCCTGAGCTGTGAACAGTCCAGAGAAATCCCGGAGCTGCTGCTGGAGAAAGTGGAGAGTGATGAGGGTCAGGAGAGCTCGGGCCTGGGGGTCGGTGGTGATGGATGAACAGAGTCCTCCCTGGATGCCGGCCATGGATGGAAGAGAAGGGAAGAAGAAGCAGGAAGGAAGTTGTCTTCTGTGATCTCTGACCTTCCTCTGAGCTTACATAGCTCTATGGAATGGAATATCTCTGCCCAATTTTGCTGTCTGTCTAACTCAGCCTCCTAGGGGGGTCATAGATCTCCCTGTAGTGTCTGAGCCGGCAGAGTGAAGGTGTGACCTCGAAGACCCAGCAGTTTCAAAAACATTCCTCTCTTATCTGCCTTAGTTAGAAGGCTCTGTGACTACTTAAAAGAAAGCTTACTGAAGGAAAAAAAAAAAAATCAGTAGAAGGGAAATTGTTTTCATCCTGGTTCAAACCAGGACAACTCTGCAGGCAGCTGTGACCAATTCTAAATGGAAAGGTCCTGGTGCTTTGGCTGATGGCAAGAGATTTGAGAGACTGAGCTGTGCTGACAGCAGGGCTGGGTGTTGCAGTGGACTTACTAGCACTTGTCCAGTAAATGACGTCTGTTTGATTCTTCTGCTGTACAGTGGGTACAGTAGCAAGCTAGTGCTTGCATGGCAATATCAGCCACAAAGTGTGTGCATCCCGGGTGCATATGGACACAACACATGGACCCCTGAACTCTGCAGCAGTCTGTCTGTATCCATTGCTGGGTCTGTTGCTTTAGTCGTGTGTTAATTATTAAAACCATCAAGACTAAATTCTTAACAGCCCCTCATAGTTGAATTTTGGCATAGTGCTTTTATTCTTTTCCTGTGGAAGAACGTGCAGCTGTGAATGTGGACAGGGCAGGCTGCTGGCACTCGAGTTAGCCTAGACTGATCCATTCTCATTCATCAGCTTGTAAGAAGCCCCAAAATTGCCTCTGCAGTTCTTGTGAGTTGGCAGCAGCCTCTCTGAGCTTTTAAGCAGCCAACTTGCTCCCATGCCCTAGAATGTCATCATCCCTTTTCTTGTTGGAGAAATATTTGTCTTGATCTTATGAGATAAATGCTGCCCTGGGCTTCACAACTCCCTTTGAACTAGCTATGCAATCTGATGTTGTAAAGAGAGAGGGACTTGGAGAAAGCTCAGGAGTATATATATAGGAAGGGAAAGGACTGTACTCCCTTGCTTCTTGGAGCTGCACTACAGATCTCTCTGGCAAGGCCTGAGCTCACACCTTGTTCACTATTCCTCCAACTGTCCTGGCTCGTTACATTGCAAAATATGAATCCCTTAAGTTCTGCAGAAGTGAAATGTAGACTGTGTGGGAATAGGATGAGGAAATGCATTCCTACAGGATGGTTGTCAGAAAAAAAATACTTCTATTTTGTCCTGGCTGTTCCCAAAGCAGTAGAGTGACTGATTTATTGGCTGTCTTCAGCTGAAAGTGAGCACCTGACATGTGGGTATTGAATGGACTTTGTGTGACTGTGTCAATGAAGGCAGGTTGTTACAACTCTGAGCACATTATTTTTTCAGGCTAAATTTATGCCCCCATTTGAAGCAGTCCACACTCCAGTAACATTGCCAGCACCACGTGAGTGGCCAGCCATATACACCTTCAATATTGTCTTTAATATGTGTTCTTTTTATTCCATTATTACAGAGCAGCAGTGGACATTTTTATAAGTTGATCGTTTCTGTGTGAGGTTCTATATGTATTTATAAGAGATCCATGGAGTACTGATAGGGTTAACTTTATTGTGATAAAAAGAAAGCAGCAGGGACCGTATCCTGTCAGAGATTGGATACTCCTTTTATTTATCAACACCAGATTGTACCATGGTAGAGTAAAAATTACGCTAATAAAATGCAT